TAGTTTTTGGTATATATAACTTGGTATGTTTATTGTTTTTGTAGAAAAAATTTTCGGCTTCATTGACATTAAGGAATAAAGTTAGCCTAGCCACTACAATTGCTTCAAAGCTTTCACCTGCACAAAGAAAATTGTTTGAGGAAACCTGCTTCGGGACATGGCTGAGAGTACATCATCCGGGTGGAGATGCTAATTTGACCCATTTGTGGCTTTAAACCATGACTAGCGATCTACCCGATAGTATACAACGTGGTGAGGAAGAGATATAGTTTCATTTTCAACCGGCGTATACTTGTTTTGGGCGGAAGGAGTTTTGCTTAATCACTGGTCTACGATTCGGACACGATGATGTAGGCCGGTACACTCGTCATATCACCCGCCCATTATGGTTATCCCAGGTTTTTCCTGATGAGTCAATAGAGAAGCCGAACTTACACGTCGACGACCTGAAGAAATTGTTTAATAAGAAAGATGGTTTTACTCGGATGAATGACGTCGATGTTGTCCGAGTATGCCTTCTAGTACTTTTGTATGTCGGCTTTTTAGGCAGAGAGGCCAGACAACCTATTCCTCATGAGCTAATATTATTGGTAGAGGACCTAAATGCATGGAATCTGTTTCCGTGGGGTTCATATATATGGAAAGCTACCTAGACTAAGTTGTCGTCTGCCTTTGATGACCGCAAAAGTTTGCGTAGCGATGGGTCGAAATACACTTTGTCAGGCTTTGTTTGGGCCTTTAAGGTAAGAATTTCTATATAATGTTTTCAAAATTATAATTAATTATTTAACAATTACTAATGTTTGTTATTATATTGTTTGTAGATTTGGATATTCGAGGCTTTCCCCAGCATGCAGACATATGCATTAAAAACTTCAAATGATATTCCTAGGGCTATTTCCTGGAAGAGGAAACGTTTGTTGGATTGGGAAGACTTAATACCATATGCGACAATAAATAATGTAAGTTAACACAAATACTATCATATATAAACAAGTTATTAATAGTAGACGTTTAACTTTGTTTGAGTTTTTATATTTTTAGGAGGCCAACACTGCATTATAGAGACTGACACCCACGGAGGCTGAGCTTGCCACTGATTGATGGCAAGCTAGTCAGCATTTTCTTGATGGAACGAATGATGAGCAGCCTCCACTTCCTCCACTTCGAGAGCCATCACCTCACCCAGAGCCATCACCTGATCGACCCGACTATACACCTCTACAACGAGAGTCATCACCTATCCCGTCACATCATCGAGCCTCTTCTCCACCATCACCTCATGATAGGCGACCGGCAAAGATGCCACGACTTCTATCTCCCTGTTCTCCACCTCCACGGGATGAGTCAAGGGATTTACGTGATGAGGTTAATGCCTTGCGTGAGGAGATCGGTACTCTACGCGATAATGATGGTGCATGGCGTGTGGAGGTGTCTACTTTACGTGGTGAGGTTGCCGCTCTACGTGAGATGGTAGTATCGTTGCAGAATGAGGTTCATACTCTATGCAACGAGGTAAGTTTAAGATTTTCCATATTTAACTTGATGATAAATTTACTTGTAATTTCACTTAGATTAACCATTTCACTTAGATTGCTTAGTAAATTTATTCGGTTGCTGCCAATACTGCTAAACTGTTTATTCTTTAACACTATGAAGTTAGTATTTGTCTTTTGTTTTGTCTTTTGGTTGAAGTAAATTTATTCGGTTGCTGCCAATTCTGCTAAACTGTGTATTCTTTAACACTGTGAAGTTAGTATTTGTCTTTGTTTTGTCTTTTGGTTGAAAGTAAATTTGTTCGGTTGCTGCCAATTCTGCTAAACTGTGTATTCTTTAACACTGTGAAGTTAGTATTTGTCTTTGTTTTGTCTTTTGGTTGAAAGTAAATTTGTTCGGTTGCTGCCAATTCTGCTAAACTGTGTATTCTTTAATACTCTGAAGTTAGTATTTGTCTTTGTTTTGTCTTTTGGTTGAAGTAATGCAATCCATTCAAGTTTCAATTTACAGAAGAAGAAATAGTTTACTTTCGCAACACGAAACTTAAAATCGCAACGTGAAAAATGACTATCGCAACGCGAAATGAATCGTAACGAGAGAATCGCAATGAGAAATGAAAATCGCAACGATAAAATCGCAACGCGAAACTATAATCGCGTTGCGATTTTCATTTCGCATTGCGATTCTCTCGTTGCGATAGTCAAATTCGCATTGCGATAGTCATTTTCGCATTGCGATAGTCATTTTCGCGTTGCGATTTTAAGTTTTAGATTCTATTCTTCTTCTGCAAATTGAAACTTGAATGAATTGCATTACTTCAACCAAAAGACAAATACTAACTTCACAGTGTTGAAAATTTAAGTTTCAAGAATAAACTACTACTCTTTATGTTGTCATTGAACCTGCACTAAACCTATATGTTGTCCTTTTAAATGTTTATATAAGTGCTTACTTCTGGAATGTTATCTGATGCATTTTGTGAACAATGATATAATAATGACTTGGGTGAATACCGTGCAAGTTTGAAATATATTTGTCTTTGTTCTCACTGTTTAATATCATGTCTGTTTATTTACTGATTTATGTATTAATTTATTTTTAGCGGCCCGCTAAGGTGGATGCTCTACGTCGGGTTTTTCTTGCAAGACGGAGTTCACGCATCAGACGGCGTGCACGTGCCATTACGTCTCCGTTCACCCCAATAGTGCGAAGAATCCGTAAGAAAAAGCCCGACTCACCTGTCATCGTTCAAGAGGCCTCCCTATCGTTCAAGAGGCCCCTATCATCCCTCAATAGTCCCCTCCCACCATTCAAGAGGCCACTGTCATCGTTGAAGAGGTTCCTCCCAACATTCTAGAGCCCGATTCACACGGCGTAATATATCGAATTATTGAGAAGCCCCCTCACGTGCCGGACATGATGGATGACTGTTAGCTTTCGTATAAGTTACCAGCCAGTACCATTCTTGCAGATGAAGTGGAGAGGAAACAACTACCGGAAACAATTCTGGATAATACCCTTTGGGCTAAGACCGCAGTTGATTTTTATCTACATGAGCGGAGCCAAGGGTGTTACGTTGACATATACAAACTCAACGATGATATGCATTTGTTGATGGAACGGTCTTGGTGGGGTGTATTATTAGGGGTTGAAGACAACGGCTATTTCGATGGGGGGTAAGTCTTATATTTCTTATATTTCAGTTTGATTAATTTTTTTTTAAAATTTATGTAATTCACTAATATATGTCTTTTTTTGTAAAACAGCATATTGATGCATGGGTGACACGTCTTCTAATTGTAAGGAAATTGAAGAAAAATATTAAAAAAACGCGATATACAATTATGCCGACGTCTTTTCACGTAGTTCACTTGAAGAATCAACGACAGGAATCATATGTGTTGGCTAATGGACAAGCTAAACTTTATCCTGCATGGTGGGAGGTCGATAAGGTTAGTATACTTGTTTAAATATTTTAAAGGTGTTCATAAATAAGTGCGCAATTTGAATTATTACATTTCGATGCAGGTGTTTATCCCTGTTCTGGACCGTACTCATTGGCTTCTCGTCGAGCTTCAGCTCCCATCCCTAAAGACAATAGTATATGTCAGCATGATAAATTACATATCATTGTCTGATTTGAGAGATATGATTAAGGGATGGAGCTCTCATTTGGCTAAATTCTTGGATGCAATTGATTATTGGACTAAGTCTGGAAACAAGAAGCCAAAGAAGTTCAATGTTACAGTTATCAGAGACGAGACCGCGCCACAACAAACGAAGGAAGCCAGAGGGGATTGTGGTCCTCTCGTATGCATGTGCTTGGAGCGTTTGATGACAGGAAGTACATATTTTTTACCTCCCACCGATAGAGATAGAGGTGCAGTAGGCTTGTGGTTTCGGCATTTTATGGCTAGAGCGATATATGCGAGACGCTGCCTACCTGCATCCGCATTATGAAAGTGTCCATAAACAATTTGTAAGTCAAATGCAAGTGTTGTTAAACATATTTACTCTTTTTGGTTTGAAAATGTTTGGTTAAGTAGCTAGAATTCAATAATTTGCTGTTTGTAGGTTTTAGATGTGTAGAAAGTTTTGTTGATTCAATGTTTGGTTTCTGCAGGTTAATTCTGAAGTGAGCTGCGTGAAATGGATGTATGGGTGCAAAAGTTGATTTCATTATTATTTTTTGATTGTTTAATTGATTTGTAAAAGATGATTTGTAAATGTTGATTTGTTTAATTGATGTGTACATAATATTTGTGCTTGTTTAATTGATTGAAATGTAATAGTTGATTTGTTGATTTCAATCTGCATTATGTTGAATGCAAAACAGACTATCGCAACGCGGAAATGAAAATCGCAACGAGAGAATCGCTCGCGTTGCGATTTTCATTTTCGCATTGCGTTTCACTCGTTGCGATTTTCATTTCGCATTGCGATTCTCTCGTTGCGATAGTCATTTTGAGCACCATTAAGTATTGGAAATGTGGTGAAACAATATTTGCTTGGTGATGAAATTGTGGTGGAACCATTAAATTTTGAGCACCATAAACTGGGGTTGAAAACCTTAGTTGATTACTACCCGCTACTGACCCGACTTCACTACTTCTAGGTTCAACAACATACAATGTAACATCATCACTTGAAACACTAATGTAAGCAATGAATCGTTCAACATCTTCATTGTCGGTTAACAAATAAACTTTACCATTTCTCTGATAATTAATATTCGTGTTTGGAATTTGAAAATAAAATACGCGTAGCGACTCTAATGGCGCTTTAAAAATCGCGTTGCGATTTACGAATACGCGTTGTGATTTTATGTATTGTCGTTGCGATTTACGGATACACATTGCGATTTACGTATTCTCGTTGCGATTTACAGATACGCGTTGCGATTTACGTATTCTCGAAATTAAGTTGGTTTAAAATTAAGAGATAAATATTGACAGAGTTAAAGACTTGGTTTAAAATTAAGTTGGGTACTGGTATTTAACAGCTCAAAATCTGATATTTTGTTCATGTTGATCCCTCGAAATCGACTTGTTAAACACGATAAACGACGTCCATGATTCCTTCCTCTTTCCGGGAACATCCTCTTCGGGTTGAACCACGGTGCCTCCCCAAAGCGTGTTGTCGAAGACGATGAGTCCGTCAACTTTGACCAGCTTCAAAAGCCTCCCGTGGTAATTCAGGTAATTATCCTTATCCGCATCAATAAATGCAAAATCAAAACTCCCTTCGTTCTCTTTCTGCTGAAATCAAAACCCCAGAACAAGGAATATGATTTTGATTTGATTGATTGAAGTTGAAGAAATTGCTAGACAAAATTGGGTTTGAGAAGAAGGGTATTTAATGCTTAAATTTTGAAGAAGCTTGTCCAGAACCGGTAAAGCTTTGGATTCAATGAAATTGATTTTGTGTTCCACGCCAGCCTTTTGGAAAATAGGCAGACCTATCTCATATGCTTCCCTGTCTGGATCTATGCCTATAATCTGCAAATAGTTTCTATTATTAAGTAGATCATTCATAGTTTTAACTTTTTGTTATAATAACCCATCAAGCCACCTCAACGAAAAAAAGGGTTTTTTCTAAAAGTTACGGTTTGAATAGCTACGTTTGTATGGTGCGTACATTGTTAATAACTAATAAAGTTTCTGAACAAATAATACCCCTTGTAATCACCTGGAATCCCAAACTATCAAAAGTTTTCTTTTGACACAATAAATTTAGCTCTAAATGTTTTTCCCTACCAATTTGATCCTTATTCTTTTTTTTAGTTGAATTTGGCTTTCAAAAGCTTTTTAGTTAAATTGGTGTGATTTTAACGGAAATGATGATTGGATCGTTCAATGTAGGTGTTAGGAGAGATGCAAATTACCATGGCATCACGAGGGATTGAAAGAGCAGTGAGGAGAAGAGAGTAGCCAGTGTAAACACCAATTTCAATGGCCTTCTTTGCATTAAGTAGCTTGAGGAGCATCCCCATTAATTGAGCTGTATCTGGTGCAGTACTCATGAAATACCTGCTCCTCAAACACTCACCCAATCACCATCTATAGCTCATAGGTATGTTTATGGATCGAGTAAAATTCAAAAAAAAATTGTATCTAGATATGAATAAATAAATGAATAGATAGACTTACGTTGGATGATTTGTAGTAACATCCCGAATCTCCTTTAGAGGCGATGGTTCCCTAGGGTAGACGTTGTTCTCCAATATATACTAATTCCAAATTAAAACAATATGATTAAAATCAATCGGTTGAATCGATTATATAAAATATTAATAATTTGTAAATGGAAAAGAAAATACCTTGTATAACTCAAAGCTCTGCACCAACACTATCATAGAAAAATGATTTGTTTGTTGTAAATTCCCTAATTTGCGATGTCACGCTTGATAAACAAGAAATATAATATTTAGTTCACACCAAATTCATGCATACCTTGTAATGATCCTTGTGTATACATTGTTTTTATGTTATAAATACGTATGAGATACTCCATATGATGATGTATGTTTATACTGTTTTTGTGTTTACTGAACGTTTTTTTTATTAACTTGATGAAAATTTCAATCTTTTGTCAGTCATTGAACTGTGTATGTAAATTTCAAGATCAATGGTCAAGATTTAAAGAAAAAATTCACCGACTATAGATAGATAAATAACTTATACTTGTACATTTACAGAAAATACATGAGATTCACAACATTTAGATAGCATCCTCATAAAACAATACATAATCCAAATCCTCATAAAACAATACATAATCCAACAGAAAGTGAATAGATAAATCATATTATTGTTAATCCTTTGGTTCACTCACAGATCAGATGAAATGGATAACCTAGGACAACCAATGCTTGGACCAACCAGATCAGTGTTGCCAACACCTTCCGTTTCCATTAACTGTTCTCATGCAGGGAGTACCTTTGCGCGTGGGTGCTCCACAAATGGATGTATATGAACCACCATAGTTTGAGTGCCGAGTAAAACTGCTACCTCTGCTGCTGCTGACACTATAATTTAAGTGTTGCCAACACATTCCATTTCCATGAACTGTTCTGCTGCAGGGAGTACCATTGCCCGTGGGTGCTCCACAAATGGATGTATATGAACCACCATAGTGCCGAGTAGAACTGCTACCGCTGCTGCTGCTGACACCATAATTTAAGTGTTGCCAACACCTTCCATTTCCATTAACTGTTCTGTTGCAGGGAGTACCTTTGCCCGTGGGTACTCCACAAATGGATGTATATGAATCACCATAGTTCGAGTGCCGAGTAAAACTGCTACCGCTGCTGCTGCTGACACTATAATTTAAGTGTTGCCAACACCTTCCATTTTCATTAACTGTTCTGTTGCAGGGAGTACCTTTTCCCGTGAGTGCTCCACAAATGGAGGACTCTTTAGTTTTCTTGCCCATGTGTTCCGCACACTGTTTTTTTCCTTTAGCCGGTGTCCTTCCACAAATGGAACCATCTTCTAAAACTACCCCACAAGTGATGGTATCATTCTTATCTGATCCACCATGATCCGACACTAACCGAGGCTGGGATCTGCTGAACTTGAAAGCTAGAGGCAGAAAGTTGTGGCTCTCTCCATGAGTATGCTTGCTGAATTCATTATCATCCGAAAGAAGCTTGCTTGATTTGATTTTGATGCCTACCTGCTTCTGGAGTAAGGGCAGATTCTTTCTGGAGAAATTGGTGGATGCACGTTTATCTAGTTTCTGAAGGATATCATTGTGACGACGCACACCATTAGAACCTTTATTCCATGCATAATCATAGGTATTAAGAAGCTGAGCTTCGGTTCTCCTAGCATCAGCCTTGTTTTCCTTCTATTTAACAGGAGAAAGGGAAAAGAACATCAAACATCAGCTCCGAAAGCAAAATTTGAATGCAGGCATTCTTCTATTAGTACTGGGAAGAGACTATTGAGTACAGACAATCAATTGAACATAATTTACATGTTTATGTGTACGAGGATCAACATGTAATAAGAACATTAATGGATGAGTGCATTTTCAAAGCTTTTTGGCCTTCAAAAACCATATCATGCAGTTAAAGTCCAGAACTAAACCTTTCAATGGGTTCCAATCAAGACTCTTTTCCATGACCATCTGCAATTCATTCAAGGCTAAGAGCTAACTAACAGGATTAATATATATGTATATATATATATAAAAATATATCTACATATATGTTCATCACTTGCAAAAATGACCTTTACAAGTACATAGAGCTTAGGCTTGTAGTTTTGAGACTGCATGCTGATCCAAACCAAACTGCCCTTGAAAAATCACATTGGATCAATATAAATCAAAATAGTTGGTGCTTTCAGGTAAGTTGTGAGTTGTGACAGAGGGGGAAGCTGACATTTTTCCTTTAGTTGCTACCATTTTCTCCCTCCTAAGCATTAATATTCACAGTATTAATTACTTCAATACTGCAATTCTCCAATAAAAGAGTATTGCAGCATAACCAGCAAACATTAGAAAAACTTCCCAAAAAAAAAATAATAAGAAATGGATTATTAACAAATCAAGGAATACAAACTAGAAGATGACTAAAACATCACCAGAATTCATTCACCGTGTATGAACTATGATCCTATAATTGTTTTTTGCTACTAAAAACTAAGACAATTTTACTTCAAATTCAAAATTTCTCAATCAGTTTCCATTCAACACTCATACGATATGACATCAATCAAGTTAAGGTTAGCTGAAAAGGAAAACATAAAACTGAAAAGAAAGAAAATTTACTGACGGGAGCCCATCTGTAAGCAATGGAGTAGCCTCTTGCAAAAATGTCCTCAAAGCGTCCGCATACTTTATCAGCAGACCCATTTCCGCAAAGATGAGCACCTGCGCGGCCATATTGTTGGAGTCGTGTCTTAACATTGTCAGCTTCCCCGAGATAGACTACCAAGGCCTTGTCTGGGTCAAGCTGGCCACGGTGGTCCCTGGTGGAGGAATTTGTACGGTATATGGCGAGTTCATAAAGTCCTGAGCTTGAAAATTTAGGAAGACTTTCAACCCTGTATCTGGTCACTCCTTCTTTCCCCATTGAATGGTCTTCCCAGTCATGAGGACCGATAAGAATCTAAACAAACGCAAAAGACCCAGAAAGAGATTAAGGTTTATATATCAGATTTAAAGTGGTTATAAGATAAAGTTTTAAAAAAATTATATGATTAAATCGCATGATAATGAGATGGAAGTGAGAGGAGATGATGGAGTTAGAATTGTGAACCTTCCATTTGGAGAAGTCGGTGTCGTGCTTCGTCCGCTTGTGATCCTCGCGGTTTAATCTGATGACCTCATCGGCTAATCTAGCCGATCCCATTGGCACCGGATGTGTTTCCTGGATGTCACGATGAAGGGGAAACGGGGCTCGAGAGGAAGGAAAATAGGGAATTTAGGGGGACGTTGGAAAAGATGATTACATGAGAGAAAAAAACTTTATCTTAGTGTGGATTACAATGATTTCCAGGAAGGAGTAATATATTCTTACTAACAGTACCGTATTTTTTAGTTTGGGATGGGAATGTTAATGCTTTAGATTTCTTAAGTATTAAGTTATTCCCGTCGTTTTGGATTTTAATGTTCTTAAAAGAAAAGATGATTTTCTTCGTTTATAAGGAAATGCAACCTGGACGTTTGTTTCTAAATACTCATATGTACTACTTGTTGAACATCCATTATGGCATCAAACTGATATAATCCTCCACTCTCTTGTCCTTGCAGTAGAACATCATCAGTCACTTCATCTTTAACCAGGCTTTGCATGAAACTCAAAGTAGGCATCATTGTCTCAAGTAAACTTTGAGATAGATTAAAGACATTACCGAAAATATTAATTTTTTTAAATATTTTTTTATAGAATGTTATTTAAAATATTATTTTTTTATTGAAAATGTTAATATCAAACATTATCTAAAATGTTATTTTTTTACTGGAAATGTTAATATCAAAAATATTCATTTTAGGTAGCGAAATTAATATTTTCGGTAGAAAAAATAATATTTTAGATAGTGCTTTACTGGAAATGTTAAAAAATATTAACATTTCTAATAACGCCTTCCTTAACCTTATATTAAACTGTCGTACAGTAGAACTACCTATTTTCTTGGTTCTACTACAACCGACTATTATATAATAAGTTATGATGGTTAATTGTATGGATGATAATTTATCTTTATGTTTTAACCACTTTTGGTCACAGATTTAAAAAAAAAAAACATAAGATATAATCATTTTTTTTTATTTAATTAAGATATTATCACTTTCGTTTTTATTTAATTAAGATGTTGACACCCCAAATTAACTGTCGTTAACAGTAGTTAAATATTTTTATATAGTTACACATTTGATCCCTGTTATTTAAATATTCTTTTAATTTAGTCATACTTTTATTAAATTAAAATAAATTTAATCCTCCTAGTGAACTATGACACATGTCATGCCAGTAAGGTTGTTTAAAAATACTCGACCTGATTGAGCTAACCCGTCAACCCATTGACCCAGTTAAAAATATTAGGTATTTATAATAAAAATACTCGATTTTCTTGGTCGAGTACCCGACCAAGTTTCTTGGTCGAGCATGAGTCACAAAATATTGGTTACCCTGGTACCCTCCGACCCGGTACCTGATTTATTATATAATTTTTATTTTTCATTTTTATTTTATATTAAATTTTATTTCATATTCCTCAAATTATTTCACTCTAACATTCTAAAATCATATTTTCTTAAATTTTGACACCATAACATTCTAAATTCTTAATTTCTTAAATTATTTCACATTAATGTTCTAAATTATTTTTTAATTATTTTAACTTCAAAAAATTTAAAATTTAATTATATTTATTTATTTTAAATTTTAATAAGTTTTATTTGAATTATGTACTTTGAATGTTTAAACTTTATGTGTGGATTATATATACTATAGAATGATAAATTTTAGAATTTTTTATATAACTTTTTAAAAAATAATATTATTTGAAAAAATAAAAAATATTATGAATCGGGTACCCGTGACCCGAATCATATATAATATAATTATATATATATTAACTTAAAATATTTTTATATCAACTTATTAAATATATTTTATTATTAACTTAATTTAAAAATCTTTTAAAGCGTCATTAGAGTCGCTACGCGTATTTTATTTTCAAATTCCAAACACGAATATTAATTATCGAAACACTGAACCGTCCATAGTATATCCCGTAATCGCAACTCATAACCTAAAACCTAAAATCACAACTCAGTCCCATCTCCATCTCTCACTCTCTACGGCGAAATCCGTCCCCATATCCAAAGATTTCCTTCCCCATCTCCGGCGAAATCCCTCACAACCATTCACGGTCAGAAATCCCTCACAATCATTCAGAAATGGAAAATCAACCTCCGAGGGTTATTTTTTTAATTATTTTTTATTTTAAATTTTTTGCATTATTTTAGGTTTTTCATATTGAAATTGATGATAAGTTTACTGGTAATTTCAATAATAGATTAACCATTTCACTTAGATTTCTTATTAAATTCATTCGATTGTTGCCAATACTGCTAAACTGTTTAGTCTTTAACCCTGTGAAGTTAGTATTTGTCTTTGTTTTGTCTTTTGGTTGAAGTAATGCAATCCATTAAAGTTTCAATTTGCAGAAGAAGAATAGTTTCTAAACTTAAAATCGCAACATGAAAATGAAAATCGCAACACGAAAATGACTATCGCAACGAGAGAAATGAAAATCGCAACGCGAAATGAAAATCGCAACGAGATAATCGCAACGCGAAACCAAAATCGCATTGCAATTTTCATTTCGCGTTGCGATTCTCTCGTTGCGATTTTCATTTCGCATTGCGATTCTCTCGTTGCGATAGTCTTTTCCGTGTTGCGATAGTCATTCTCTCGTTGCGATTTTCATTTCAACCAAAAGACAAAACAGTGTTGCAAATTTTAGTCTCAAGAATAAACTACTACTCTTTATGTTTATTGTTTTTGGTATATCTTCACAGTGTAGTTTTTGGTATATCTAACTTGGTATGTTTATTGTTTTTGTAGAAAAATTTTTCGGCTTCATTGACATTAAGGAATAAAGTTAGCCTAGCCACTACAATTGCTTCGAAGCTTTCACCTGCACAAAGAAAATTGTTTGAGGAAACCTGCTTCGGGCTATGGCTGAGAGTACATCATCCGGGTGGAGATGCTAATTTGACCAATTTGTGGCTTCAGACCATGACTAGCGATCTACCCGACAGTATACAACGTGGTGAGGAAGAGATATGATTTCATTTTCCACCGGGGTATACTTGTTTTGGGCGGAAGGAGTTTTGCTTAATCACTGGTCTACGATTCGGACACGATGATGTAGGCCGGTACACTCGTCATATCACCCGCCCATCATGGTTATCCCAGGTTTTCCTGATGAGTCAATAGAGAAGCCGAACTTACAACGTCGACGACCTGAAGAATTGTTTAATAAGAAAGATGGTTTTACTCGGATGAATGACGTCGATGTTGTCCGAGTATGCCTTCTAGTACTTTTGTATGCCGGCTTTTTAGGCAGAGAGGCCAGACAAACTATTCCTCAGGAGCTATTATTGGTAGAGGACCTAAATGCATGGAATGTTTTCGTGGGGTTCGTATATATGGAAAGCTACCTGGACTAAGTTGTCGTCTGCCTTTGATGACCACAAAAGTTTGCGTGGCGATGGGTATTGGTAGAGGACCTAAATGCATGGAATCTGTTTTCGTGGGGTTCGTATATATGGAAAGCTACCTGGACTAAGTTGTCGTCTGCCTTGATGACCAAAAGTTTGCGTGGCGATGGGTCGAAATACACTTTGTCAGGCTTTGTTTGGGCCTTTAAGGTAAGAATTTCTATATAAGTTTTCAAAATTATAATTATTTAACAATTACTAATGTTTGTTATTATATTGTTTGTAGATTTGGATATTCGAGGCTTTCCCCAGCATGCGGACATATGCATTAAAAACTTCAAATGATATTCTTAGGGCTATTTCTTGAAAATCGCAACGAGAGAATCGCAACGCGAAATGAAAATCGCATTGCGATTTTCATTTCGCGTTGCGATTCTCTCGTTGTGATTTTCATTTCGCGTTGCCATTTGCGATTTTCATTTCGCGTTGCGATTCTCTCGTTGTGATTTTCATTTCGCGTTGCCATTCTCTCGTTGCGATAGTCTTTTCCGCGTTGCGATAGTCATTCTCTCGTTGCGATTTTCATTTCAACCAAAAGACAAAACAGTGTTGCAAATTTTTTCGGCTTCACAGGAATAAACAGTGTTGCAATTATCATTTTTCACAAATATATTTAGTATAAATAATTTTTGTTATGCATTTTAATTTTTATTATTTTCATAAATTTAACTTAGATTTTTGGAAAAAAACTAGAAAAAGAGTGAAGTTTAACTTATTAGAAAGAAAATAAATCACAACGATAATTTAGTAAAATACACATTAATATAATCTTATATTCTATCAATCAAATATTATCCTCTTATATTTATATCAAATAAACTAAATAAAGTAATATAACATTCCAATACTACAAGTAATGATATATTCCGAAAATCCTATTTCTGAAAGTAATCTTATATTCAATGACTCAATCACACGGGTTAAGTGAGGAGGAGTTTGGGAACTCAATTGTTATGGGAGGGGGACAAAACGATAGCGTTCTTTTAAGAATAAAGATAGTGGGTCGATAGCAAAAATGGGTGGTTCTACAGAGAGAGTTTTCTCTCACTTCTCTTTAACTTCTAGGGAAAACAAGGGTCACAACAAAGTTCATGGGTGGTTTAGATTCAAGCCTAGATCTATTGATAGATTATGTGCTTCAAATCAGTTTCCCTTTTTTTTTTTGAAAAATTAAGATTCAAGTTCTTCCTTATTGTCCATTCTCCGTTATTTGTCTCCTAAAAAAACCAAACCGACTCGGACTTCCCCCAAGTCTAAAACAAAATTCAAATCCTCAAAGATGTCATTACAAAATACAATCCTTCAAAATCCTAGTCACTCATCCACTCCCCAATGGACTCCTTGGAGGACTTCAAGATGAGGTAAGTTTTAGTCTGCATTTAACATATTTCTTTCGATTTTTTAGGGTTGCTTAAAAGCTTCCAATCATCGAATGTGTTTAGAGAGAGGGGAAGAATGTTCCCAACAACGTTTCAAAAGAAATAGAAGGAAAATGGCGGATACAAGGGTCCTAGAGTGTTTAAGAAAGAGAAAAAAGAGTAAAAAAACTCATCACTGAAAGCAAATTAGTAGTCATGGAGCTTCTCCAAAGGGATAGTTACCAAGAATAGAGAGGACATTGCTCTAGAACTAAACAAAGAAAAAAGAGATTTCACTATTTGTTAGACCGGAGAAAGCCTCTCTAACTCACTGGTAAAAAGGAAAACTTTCGTTTTCAGATGTTTTATGATGATACGCAGCTAGTCGAAAATGGACACGTTAACGATAGGGGTGTG